GAGAGAGAGAGAGAGAGAGAGAGAGAGAGAGAGAGAGAGAGAGAGAGCAGCCAAGCAGGGCATAGGAACAACGTTTGGAACAGACCAGGGATTGGAATTCTCAGCAAACAGATCAACAAGACAACATCTCTCATAAAAGTGTCGAGTACTGTCCTTGGACACACCACCAGAAAAATAACGTTCCTGCTATGGAACACCATATATAACCAGTGAACTACCGTCTTCACTCGAATAGAACGCCGGGTTATTATAGCCGTATTTGGAGCAACTTTCAGTCCAGATGCAGCCATAATGACCGAGCGTATAATGATCGAACTTGGGTTTTTTTTTTTTTTTTTTTTTTTTTTTTTTTTTTCAAGTCCAGTCCAGGGTTGTAGAATAAAGCCCCTACCTTGCGCCTTTTCCTTGAGGTCTATGATACTCCTGTGCCTTGTAGAATGGATTATGGAGTGCATTCGAACTTCGGTCTGTAAACCGAAGAGCGTAGCTCAATGGGTATAGCAATATCAAGTGTTGAAATAAAGACTCGTGTTCAAATCTAAATGATGCAAAACTTCATGACTCGCCTCCTATAAAACCACACATTACAACAAGAGCGTAGCTCAGTGGGTACAGCAATATCAAGTGTTGAGCTAAAGACCCGTGTTTAAATCTAAATGATGCAAAACTTCATAACTCGGCTCCTATAAAACCAGACATTACAACACTCAAAACTCTATCCCCACTACAACCCCTCTGCCCTGGCTGCGCCCCCGCGCTACGCGCGGTCACAGTTTTGAGAAGACGGGCCTCAACGCCTGGGCCTGAGGGCCCTTACCCCACCCCCACTTCTTTTTGGGGTCCACTTCCACCTGAGGACCGGTCCTTGCTTTTTCCAAAAGTCCCTTCCCGGGGCTAGGTCCCACTTGCACGAATTAAGAGATACTGACCGTAGATAGCAAAGATCAACGGCAGACATCTCCTAATTTGCGCAAGTGGGACCTCTCCCCCGGTCACCCCAGAGCTGCCTGTGGGTAGTCCCCAATTTTGCCAAGGACCTGTCCCCCCCAAACTTTTGCCCCCTAGAAACCCACTTTGCGTCCTGGTTGACGCAGACGCAGAAGCCCACTATACTATACCGCAGCCTTAGGGCTGCGAATTCTGGTGAGGCGTGGCACTGCGGAGCTGACGAGCAAGAGTTCCATTCACAGACTCGATGGAATCGGCCCGTAGTTTCCGCCAAGTACGTAAGGAAGGTAAGAAGAATCTCTCCTGTGCCGAAAGCTTGGAGGGCGGGAGAGGCATGAGATAGGGCAGGAGAAAGGGCTTCATCTCGGAAACTCAGCGGTCCGTCGTCGGGAGCGCCCTAAAAGGCGGTCGTTCGGCCACTGGAAGCCAAGAAAAGAATATAAAGGAGGGGGCCGAGACGAGATCTACGGTTGGAAACTGCTAGCGCGTCTGGCTGTGGAAGAAACGCACACCTGTAGAGACCATATAATCGAAACGAAAAATAAATTTGAAAAAGAAAAACAAAAAATTTCAAAAGAGAGGGAAATGGTTCTGTTTCGAAGATTTGTGCTTTCTTTTTCTCTCTTTTTGAAAATTGTTGCCCTGTCGCGGCTTTCTCCTTTTCGGTCATCAGGCTGAGCGCGCCCGCTTTTGTTCAGGTCGGGTTTCTCCAATCTGTACTAAACCACTGAGTAATATGGTGGTTTCACACCTGGGATGAGCCCGGCGGTAGGCTGGACGTGCCCGCCAGGCGGTTCGCCCGTTCACACGCAGATGCTTCTAGTGGGAGTTGGAGGCGAGACGGAGGTCCAATGGATGTGTGAAGGGTTCCGGTAAGTGGGGTTTCTGTTTCCCACGTGGCGAATAGCTGTTACGAACACAGACGAGCTCCTCCCATTAGTCTGCCCTCTGTGAGAGTAGTCTACTTCGCGCGCCATTGTATTTGGTGAAGAGAGGAAACGGGGCTCTTTACTTTCGCGCACAGGGTGTCTGGCTGGTGGGCGGGAGAACTGGCGCGGGCGAGCGGGCGAACTGGCGCGGACGAGCGGGCGGGCAAGCGGGCGGGTGGGCGGGTGGATGGGCTGGCGGGCGGAAGGAGAGGGGGTGGAAGGTGACACGGTAGATAATACAGTCAACGACCGACGACGGGCCTACGCATTCTGGAGACTATCTGCTGCTGCTGTACTAAACGTGACGATGCGCTGTGAACGTGCTCGTCGTGGAACGCGCTCTGTGATCTTTGCCTCTTTCTTTAAACTCTGTTTCTCCATATCTCCGTACGTATAGGGTTGTGGTCTTTCCCTCCGGGCTGGTATCATGCTCGAGACGTGGTTATCGCACACAGTCTAATGCATGACGTGGCAGGATGGCTGGTGCCTGCGTCAATCACACCTCTTCGGAATCCGATGAGTGGAACGATGAACCATGGACTGTCGATTGTCCATGTGGAGTCACGTACGACGATGGAGAGGAAATGGTTCAGTGCGATCTGTGCAGTGTGTGGGTTCACACTGGTTGTTGCAATGTGCCCAAGCACCCGAAGCACCTCGCCACCTATGTGTGTGACAAGTGCCGTCGGTTGAAATCGAGAAGGGGAAGGGGCGATGGCGACATTGATATGGTGGGGACGGTTAGGGGAGGAGGAGTTGAGGAGGTCAGTCTTACGGTGGGAGACTGTGGCGAGGATGTCTGCGGGAAATCTGGGTTCGGGGGTACGGAAGACAATGGAACGTTCTCTTTCGCGGGAAGGGATTGTTCAGTAACGGGGACGGGAGGGAGGTTGGCAGATGAATGTTCAGGTGACGATGATGATGCGTGTGCTGAGTTCTCCATCGAGGATCGTGTTCATAAGCATGGATGTCCCGATGGGGATCCGCGAGCTCTGACGAGTGGGTCTATCGTCTTTTCGCTGCCGTTATGGAGGGCAGTAGGTCTTGTGCCGAAGGCAATGAACTTCCAGTGCAATGACCTACCCCCGCCTGTGGGCGAGGATGTGGACATTCAGCAGATGCTTCTGCGGCCAGAGCCAATTGAGAAGATAATCGAGAGGGAAAGGATAAGGTTCAAGATGAGGCTTCAACTAGGTAAGCAGCAGGCAGTCATTGGTGGGAGTGTAAGCGCTGGAGGGTTCCACACCGAGTATGGGAGATCCCAACAGCAGGCTTCAGATGAGCGGGATTCCGTTGGCGGGGCAGCAGCTCTTCAGACTTGTGTACGAATGGACTCGCCAGATCAGGCGTCTTGCCTTGCTCGCGGCGACGAAGTTGATGGTGCCAGATTTACTGGCGCGGAGAGGCTCGATGAGAGAGAGGCTGAATCTCTGAGCAGGCAGGGGTGCGAAAATGGTGCCCTTCCTATGGCCCTTGATTGCACGAATAGCGAGAGTAGGGAGGTTCCCGCCGTTGCCATTCCTGAATCCATCCGTAGCGGAGTTACTTCAAGCAGAGAGCCCAGTTTTGAGGGTGACAGGAGCAAGGCAGTTGTTGCGGATATGGGGCAGGATGCGTCAGAGCGACGCTTTTACTCGTTGGAAAGGGAAGTAGTCACGGGGGGAAACGATGAGGCGCTTTTGTACGATAGTGTCCATCCGGCGCCTTCTTCGAGGGTTGTAGGTGGTGGTGCATCTTCTACTTTGGTATCTGAGCAGCGTTCGTCTTGTTTGTGTTATTTAAACCCAGGGGTCGATTCTCATGGGGCTGGGAACGATGATACTTTTCCTGTAGCCCAGAAGAAGCTTGTTGCGAACGCTGAGCTACAGCGAGCGCAAGATTGTGGGGCTGTAGACCAGTGTGCCGCGTCTCCGTCTCGTGTGAAGGTGGCCAGGGGGGCATCGGTTGGCAAGGAGTGTGGTTCCTCAGTCGGAAGGTTCTGTTTCAACTGTTCGTGTGAGAATACCGCTCTTTCGTCAGGGGGTGCTGATTGTTCTGCTGACACTGACCGTGCTGCTTTCAGGGCAGCCGGTGAGTTGGGTTTCGATTCTTGTGGTGACCGAGATGTTTCGTGTATATGGCTATGCAGCGCATGTGGCGATCTGTTTTCGAAGAAACGTGGCGTTTGCCCTTCCGGCAGCTGCTGTCCGCAAAGCGTCGGATCCGGAGATGGAGATTCCTTAAAGTCGACTAGAGGAAGATCTCGTATGTCTTGCTCTGTCTGTCAAAGATGGTGCCATACGAGGTGTGCCGAAAGGAAGAAAGAGAAAGGTACGCCTTTTATGACCTTATTCCGTTTACGTGATGATTCGAAGTGCGACCGCTGGCCTGCGGGATGTGTAATCACCCTTCCTCACGTTGATTGCCTTTCTTTTTGCCTGGGGCCTGCTGGTTCTGCTGTTGTCTGCGTTGGAGTGTACTGGGATATGTGAGCTCCTTTCGATAATTACTAGTGATGTGATTTTGACCTGCGGGCCCGGCTTCTGTCCGCGTTGCGGTGTAATTATACCGTTCTCTCGTTGATTGTGTTTTTTTTGAGCTGCTGTTGTTCGCGTCGGGGTGTAGGTACCGTTTCTTTTCTCTGCGTACTGTTGTTTTGGCATGTGGGTTGCTGTTGTCCTCGTTATTACCGTTCATCTTGATTATTATGGAGTGCCGAACGAGGTCGTTGAAAGGATGAGCAACAACCCTACAAATGTGTTGTGCCTTCAGTCTTTCGAGTGATCTGTGCTGGCAGCTAAAACTGTGCTGTATGGGTTTTCTCCGGCATGCGGTGCTTCGAGTCTTCACCAGCATGCCGTGCTTCAAGTTTTGCCCTGGTAGGGTGCTCTTCATGTTTTCCCTCGGCGTAGGGTGCTTCCAGTTTTTCCTCCGCGTAGGTGCTTTCGAGTTTCCCCCCCCCGCATGGGGTGCTTCACGGTTTCTCCCGCGTAGGCTTCACGTCTTATGACGGGTAGAGTTAAATGTGAATTACGGAGATGCCCTGGAGATGTAAAGGCGTGTTTCTTGGCGACCCGGGCTCTCGGCTAGGCGTCGTTTCCGTCGTTCTTACTCAGCGTCGTGCGTTATCTGGTTTATGTCCGCAATGATCTGCTTTTGTGCGTATGCTTTCCGGGTCGTCTGTGTCAATTCAGTTCATGTTGACGTGATATAGTCATGTAGTCACGAATTCCTTTTGAGGCGCGGTTGAGCCTTATTGCGTGCCAAAACCTTGGAATTTGCTCTTGTGACGCTGCGCATGTGCTCATACGGTTGTTTCTGGTTGTTGGTAATTACTTTGAAGACGTCCGTTGAGGTAGAGTCATGCTTGAAGGGGATGTCTGCTTCGGTTGCGGAGGCAATGAGCAGGTCTTTAGTTGGGTGCGTCCGCCCGTTCTCGTGAGGGGCCGCTCTTCTGTTCTACCGGCCTCCAGTCAAGTCTCTTTTTCTGTGCCTCTGTCCATCGTGGATGTCTTGGTATCGCTCTTCGTTAGTTTCTGTATGTTGTCCGTCGGGTGGGCGTCAAAACGTTCTCGAGAGGACGCCCTCTCTCCCCGTTTGGTGTTGGTGCTTTGTTTCCAGCGATTTGACTTTGTCGTACTCGTGGAAGACGCTTTTCTTACCAGTCGTTTTCGCCCGTGTATTATTCTGTTCTGTTCCCTATGAATATATTCTACTTCGCTTCCCGCAAGGATATGGTGGGATTGCTGTCGTTCTCGGTGTGTTGTCACAGCGACCGTACCTTTGCCACTCTTCATTTCACCGACCCTCTTGCGGTGGTTCTTGAATGGTTCCGTGCTCTCTTGCTTTTGAGTGATCGTTAACGCACCTGCTCTTAGCACGCGTTTGGCGTATATCTGCCGCTTTCATTCACGTAATCGTCTTTCGATCTGGTGTGGAAGTTTTGGTTGCACAGTCTTCCACCTGTTAGCAGCGTAGCTGTCCCGTTGTGTGTGCTTGTGCCAATTTTCTGTGCGGTCGTCTCTATCAGACCTGCCTGGGGTCTTTTATTGATCTTGCCCTCTTGTTCCTCCTTCCTGGTTTGTATTACCCGGGGTCTGGGGTTTTCTTGCCAAATACAAATATTTCCGGCCAGTGTGCCCGCGTGGTGTGGCGAGTGTGCGCGTCTGCTGGTGGCGAGAGTGCCCTCGTGGTGATGGTGAGAGAGTGCCCGCGTGGGGCTGGTGGTGAGTGTGCCCGTGTGGTGGTCGCGAGTGGCCGCGTCGTGGGCGCAAGTGTGCCCACGTGGCGGTGTTCTAGGGTGCCTGCGTGGTGGTGGTAAGTGGCGGAGTGCCCGCGTGGTTGTGGCGAGGACGTCCGCGTGGTGGTGGGGAGTTCGTTCGGGTGGTGGTGCGAGTTTGTCCGTGCGGTGGTGTTCAAGGATTGTACTTGCGGTGGCGGCAGGTTTGTTTTGTGACGTGATGGCGAGTTTGTCCGTGCGGTGGTGGGGACTGCCTGCGCGTGCTGGCTGTGGGGAGTGCACTCGGGCTGGCGGTGGGGTGACGTGATGGCGAGTTTGTCCGTGCGGTGGTGGGGACTGCCTGCGCGTGCTGGCTGTGGGGAGTGCACTCGGGCTGGCGGTGGGGTGTGTCCCCGTGCTGGTGGACGATGTGGGCTCGAGCTGGTGGCGGTTGTACCCTCGTGCTGGTGGCGGGATGCTCGCGTGTTTGTGGCGTTTGTGTTCGTGTAGGTGGCAGGTGTGTTGGCAGTGGGGAGTGAAGGTGAGCTGACGGTGGGGTGTGCCCCCGTGCTGGCGGTGGGAGTGCCCGTTGTTGGTGGACGGTGTGGCCTCGAGCTGCTGCCGGGATGCCCGCGTCTTTGTGGCGGCTGTGCTCGTGCTGGTGGCGGGTGTGGCCGCGTGTTTGTGGTGGTTTATAGTGGTTGACGCGTGTGTTAATGTGTTGGTGGCGAATTTTTCCGTTCGGTGGAGGCGGGAGGGGCCGCGTGGTGGTGGCGAGTGATTCGGCGTGGAGGTTGCATGTTTGCTGGCATGCGGGTTGCGCGTGTGCGCGCTTGTCGGTAACGAACGTGCCTCGTGTTGGTTGCCAGTGTGTCCGCGTGTTGGTGGCGACTTCGTCCGTGCCGTGGTCGTCAGAGTGCGCGCCTGGCGGCGAGTGAGCCGGCGTGTAGGTGTGACTGTGGTGAGTGTGCCCGCGTGTTGGTGGCGAGTGTGACCGCGCGGTGATGGCGAGAGTGTTCGCGTGGCGGTGGCTAGAGTGACCGCGTGGTGGTGGCGAGAGCGCGTGCCCGCGTGGTGATGGCGAGAGTGCGTGCCCGCGTCGTGGTGACGAGTGCCGGCGAGAGTGCTCGCGTGGCGGTGGCTAGAGTGCCTGCGTGGTGGTGGTGAGAGTGCGTGCCCGCGTGGTGATGGCGAGAGTGCGTGCCCGCGTCGTGGTGACGAGTGCCCGCGTGGTGGTGGCGAGAGTGAGTGCCCGCGTGGTGGTGGCGAGAGTGCGTGCCCGCGTGGTGATGGCGAGAGTGCGTGCCCGCGTGGTGATGGCGAGAGTGCCGGCGTGGTGGTGGCGAGAGTGCCCGCGTGGTGGTGGCGAGAATGCCCGCGTGGTGGTGGCGAGTGCCCGCGTGGGGGTGGCGAGAGTGCCTGCGTGGTAATGGCGACAGTGCCCGCGTGGTGGTGGCGATAGTGCTTGGTGATGGCGACAGTACCCGCGTGGTGGTGGCGATAGTGCCCGCGTGGTGGTGGCGATAGTGCCCGCGTGGTGGTGGCGAGAGTGCCCGCTTTGTGGTAGTGAGACTTCGCATTTTGTAGTGGCGAGAGTGTCCGTTTTGTGGTGTCGGGAGTGCCTGTGTTGTGGTGGCGAGTATGCCCGCTTGTCGGTGGCGAGTGTGCCTGCATGCGGTGTCGAGTATGCCTGTTTGTGGTGGCCTGTGTGCCTGTGTGTTCGTGGCGATTGTCCCCGTGTTCGTGGCGATTGTGCCGGCGTGTTGGTGGCGAGTGTGCGGGGGTGTTGGTGGCGAATGCGCCCGCGTGTTGATGGCCTATCAGCGTTCATGGCCTATCAGCGTTCGAGACTTACTCAGTGTCGGAACAGAACGTGTTTGTCAATCGAATACTCTGTGTCGGAACAGAACGTGTTTGTCAAGCCAATACTCTTTGTGTCGGAACAGAACGTGTTTGTCAAGCTTTTGGCATATGTCGCGCATAGGTTTGTCGTATTGTTTGCGTCTGTGGACTGTGTGCGTCTCTGTTGCCCGTTCTCTCCGTGTTTGTCATTCTTTAGTTCGTTCTCGTGGGTACGTCTGTTTTAGCGGGTTTCCCAGCCCCATCGCCGTCTGAGGTGTGTTCTTGCGTGCTCGCGGCTTCTTAGCCTGTTTCGTCTTCATTGTTGCATCTCGGAATGCCTCTTTCATCTTTCAATCACGGTTCCTGATTTTTTCATCAGCTCTTTGCCCGCTTACGATGTGTTCTCCCTGCTTTATCTCCCCCTGTTCGCTTTTTTTGGCTGTTTCGTTGCCCTCTTTTTTTTGTGTTATGGGACTGCCTGAGTCGTTTATCAGGTTTGCTGATCTCTCGTCCCTCATCTCTTTTAGTGGTTCAATTGATATCGATAGGCTAGAGGGCATGATGCTTATCTGGCGTTGGCCGACTAGAAAGGCACATCTGATCGTCTGGGGCTCCTTGCAGTTTCCTTATGCAATTGGGAATGTTCCCTGAGCAGTCTGATTCTTTACAACATCCGTGCTCAGAATGTGATTTTTGACCGAGTGTCCCTTCATCTCGTTACGTTTCTTCTCTTATCCCTGTTTCTTTCGATTTGAGGGTTGCTTGTTACCGTCGTTCCTGACGATTATCTTGTGGTTTGTTGTTTTGTATCATCTATTGGCAGTGTGTTGCATGGCCGGTTTGTGCGTCTTCTTCTCATATTTATTTCTCTAATCCTATGTTAGCTCTCTCTATAGTCCGACTTTTGCTCCTTTTTATCAGAATGCACTTTTGAACGTCTCCTTTCGCCGCGTGTATATTGTAGTCTCTCCCTTTCTTTCATGAAACTTTTGCGACTCCGTCGAGTCGCTCTCCTCGTTTGTCGTGCTTGCTGTGCACCAAGCAGTCACGTCACTCTACTCTTTTCGCTTTTTCCTCTCGCCATATGTTCCTTCCTGAGTTTTCTCACCTTCTCGTTCCCCGGCTTCCTATCGCGCATTCCCCTGCTTTCTATCGTGCCTCCCGTTCTTGTCACGTTTACGTTTCTGTCGTGCGTTTCCCTCAGCTTCGTATCGTGCTGCGCTCGTGTCCTTTTTCTGGCGAGTGTCACACCCGTTCCTCTCCTAGCGTT